AGAACCAGGCTCAGGGAGGGACGGCCATCTGCCTCGACTGGTGCATCTGCCTCAACCGGTCATCACCTAGCCCTCCAGGCAACTGGGCAACAACGTATGATAGCGACAAATGTGCGTTGACTGAATGAAACCCTTGTCTATTTACAAGATTAAATTCTAGTGAATTTAATAAACTAGTGATGGTGCTTTGATTGCGATGTGAGTGCAGTCTATGGCTCCACTTATGTTTGGGAATCCAGCGATAGCGTGAAGTCCCCGTTTGATTTTGACTCATTGGTGATGGCTGTAAGGAAACTGGATGTAGGCTGGGGCTAGGGGAGTTATGGCATCCAACACTGCCGGCATGATCCTGCTCAGTGATGGCTGGGAAATGCCGCATATGTCTCCAACCTCACGCTGGAATGTGCCGTTGGTCAAAATCCCTGAATGCTTTCTATTTGTAGTTTCACTATTCTACTGCTAGATTATGTGTGTACGTATGGTCAGAGTTGTGCGTATATTTACGCACATTCCTAAGTACAAGTTGATAAATTTCATACTTTGCATAGGAATGTTCGTACGCGTTCGTATGCTCTATGCACATATCTGTGCATACGCACTGATGATAAATGAGGCCCTAGATTTTTAGGAAGGCAATATTTGTTAAGGTTCCCAGGATAAATCCTGAGCTCCATCAGATTTGTCAGGACATCTTTGTAAAGATCAGTCTATCATTGTACACACGACTACATTTCAGTGTTTCAGTTGTGTTATGGGACCTGAGCTACAGAGATGAACTGTCATGAAGTCACTGATGACAGACAGGCGGACACAAATGCGCGACACAGAATGGGTTCAGGCAAAAAGACAGGTTTAATGACAGGCAGGGTTCGGTACACAGGAATTCAGTCCAACAGGCAAAAATCAGCAGGCAAAAAGGCAAGGTCCAAAAAGCAGAAACAAGGTCGTAAACAAAACAGACTGTGACTTGGTTTGAGTAACACTGGTACGAGGACTGTGAAGTGCAATGAACTGGCAACGAGACTGTGAGACACACAAGGTAATATACACGAGGTAATGAGGGGAGATGGGAAACAGGTGGGGGAAAGCCATCAGGGAGCAGTTGAGACAAGACAGGTGCAGAAAGTAAATCTAAGACAAAGACAACTGGTTAGTGATTTCAAAATAAAACAGAAAAGACAAGACACAAAATGTGCACACAAAACAGAAACATGACAGAGATGACATGAAAATTTTTTGGCAATAAACCTAGGCCCCCTGCCCAATGTCTAATTAAACACTACACCCTTAAACATTAAATCAGAGGATTTTATAGATTTGAGCTTGCTGGACTTTAGAGGTTTCCATTTCATTTGCCCTTTTTGATTGTCATGTATCTCTATGTCATGTCTGTATGGTCATGAAAGTCTAAAGAAGGAAAGGCATGCACATCCCCGAGGCCCACTGGGTTGGGTGCTGGATCACAAAATGTCAAAAATGAGAAAAGAAGAGAAGAACAATCCGCACACCAAAAACAGGCTCCCTTATACAATTTATTGGCGTGACGTTTCGAGCAAAATGCTCTTCCTCAGACTGCTAACCATTAGACTGGGGCTGCCATCTTAAGTACCCATAGTGCACAGCATTCATCACGTGGTACATTGGCAGGTAAACAGTACTTTGTAATATATGCAATCATGTATACAAAAATATTTTTACAAAAAATGAATGAATAAACATATGTGAGAAAAAATATAAAATATAAAAAGTTATGTAAGAAAAAATATAAAAGGGTGTATAAAAGGGCGTTCGTTTTCCCGAGATAACGAACGCCGTTTAAAAAAATGTGCAGCCATGACCGCTCTCGGCTTCTGTAAAAAAGACCCAACGAGAAGTCACTTTGCGATTAGGGTCTGAACCCTTGACGACATTTTGTCATCTCTATTGAACAGTGAAGGAATGCAGAGTTGCCTTGTACATCACATATGTGACCCATCTTTTCTCGAGATAACGAGATAATTATCCCGTTGACAGTTTCGGCTGTCACTTCAGCCTTCATCAGAAGTTGTCGGACTTCCTGGTGTGACGTATCTTATATAGACAGCTGACCGGGAACTCCGTGATGACGTGTCATGAGAACAGCTGACCGGGCACGACAACTTACAATGAAGCGCTCGTGTCCGGTCTCGTCTGTCCTCCGCCCCCCCGCTGGTGACTGAGGATGGAATCCCAGGTGTGTGGGAGGTCCCACACACCTGGGATTCCATCCTGGACCGGGCACGAGCGGGCAAACACAAACACCAATTATCTCGTTTTCACGAGAAAACGATTCTTGTTGTCCCGAGATAACGAGAAAATTAACTCGTTATCTCGAGAAAACGGCGAAGAAAGAACAATAGCGGAAAACGACCGCTCTCGGCTTTTTACTAGTACAAACAGAGAAAAACTTTGGGGCTTGGCACAGGAATTTTACCTGGAGTTGAACTTTCCTCATCTAAACATGAGTGAGGCTTATAAGGTCCTTCATCAGAGGATTAAGAGATGGCATGTTTATGTAAAGTCTGACAGGTAGCAGAAGTAGCTTCGCAAAAGAAGCTGATGAAGGATGTCTGGTAGTCTTCAGGTGAGATGAGCCCAGGAGTTTCCAGGCCATTGTTTTCATAGAGGCAGTTTGGAATGGACTAGGAGGGAAAAGAATTAACACACACTAATAATTCATATATACAATATATATATTGTAAATTTCTTCTTGCATTAAACGGATTAACCATTGTGTGTCCAGGACAACCGTGGCAGCAGCAGCAGTATGTCGAGTCAGCAGCTGGCCTCTGTGTCTCCTGTGTCAACTCTGAGCTCCGCCGGCATCCCCACACCTGCCCAGCTCACCAAGTCCAATGCACCTGTCCACATCGACGTAGGAGGACACATGTACACCAGCAGCCTGGCCACACTCACGAAGTACCCAGAGTCAAGGTGGGAGGCACGTGTCGGCTCTGAAAAAACAATGCCTGACAATACCTTTAACTCCTGAAAACGCATCTCTAAACTAAGATTTCAGTTTCCTCAACAGTCATTTTGACCTCTTATCTGCTGTTAAAAGTTTTAACATTAAGGAACTTAACAGAAAAATGTTGAGGTCAGTGCTTGGATGTTTTAAAGCTTTCTTCCTCTGAATTTCTCTCAGATAACTAGATTTCTTTCTAACACAGTTGTTAATCATTTGAGCTTATTTATGAACTAAAAGAGTTTAATTCTGTTCCAAGACATAGAAGAGGTTCAACTGTGACTCATTAACATTGTCTATGGGAAAAATAAAAGGGACTGTTTATGCATGAGACGTGTACCCAAAATAGCTGCTCCCACTTCATAGAAGTATTTTAAATCTTCAACAAGGTCTGAACACTGGACTGTTGTAGTACAGTCGCTGCGTCCAGCAGACCTGACAACTTCCCCAACATTTGCTCAGCATTGAATGAAGAGGCCACTGTGTTTTTGCCTTTGTTGCAGAATCGGCCGGCTGTTCGATGGAACGGAGCCCATAGTGTTGGACAGTCTAAAGCAGCACTACTTCATCGATCGGGACGGACCCATGTTCCGCTACATACTTAACTTCCTCCGGACCTCCAAACTGCTCATCCCTGATGACTTCAAAGTGAGTGTCTGTCTAGAGCTTTGATCAGGTACTGCCACAGCAAATCGCTGTCTGAACAGTGAAGACAATAAAGTAGATAGATACGTACAACTTTATTGATCCCTTTGGTATGAACCTCAGGGAAATTGTTGATGTCAGAGTGATGTCAGAGGAGGATTTTTGACTCTTGTCTCTCGTGTGTAGACCACCCACTGCACCTATCCTTGTACTGCAGTATGACAGATACATCCATCCATTATCTATACACCGCTTAAGCCTGGTCGCAGGGGCTGGAGCCTGTCCTGGCTGACTTAGGGCGAAGGCAGGGGACATCCTGGACAGGTTGCCAGTCTATCGCAGGGCTACACTTAGAGGCAGACAACCAAGCACATTCACATTCACACCTACGGACAATTTAGAATCACCAATTAACCTTAACATGCTTTTGGACTGTGTGGGAGCCAAAGAACCTGGGGAGAATCCACGCTTCACGGGGAGAACATGCAAACTCCACACAGAAAGATCCCAGTGTCCCCACCAGGACGCGAACCGGTGACCTTCTTACTGCGAGTCAATGGTGCGAGGCAACGGTGCTAACCACCGAGCCACCTTGCAGCCCATTACAGATACAGTTCAGAAGATGCCCTATACAGCCACAATGTTGTACAGTCACTGAACAATGCTTTGCTAAAGGGCACACAACTCTGAACTAACAAGCATGCCTTTTTATGTGCTTGTAGGTTTTCTTGAACAGAATAACTACTCATATTGTTAATACATTTCATAACTTTTGTAATAAACATGCTTTGGAGTCAAAAATATTTTTTTCTGTAATATTTTAGTCCTTTTCTATTGATGATAATAATAATAATTTGCTGCTATTTACAAGCACTTGCATTCCCTTGTACAGTTTTTACATCATTCCATCCTGTACAGAGTGAAACACTCACTCTAGGTACTGCACCCACTTTCTGAAATCATGGCAACATAAACAGAATTTATGCTAGCGGTGGCTGAACATTTGCACAAAGAAACTGTCACCTGCATCCTCTGGCAGTGATTTGCGGCCTCAAGTGAAAAAACTTTAGTTCCCCTCACTTTCTTGTTCATTAATTCTTCATCATAATTATGGGAATCCAAGCAGAACAGTGCCTAAAGCCAGTGTGTGTAGACTGTTTATGTGATCATAGAATCTTTGGAATTAATTAGCAGGTACAGTATGTGTTTTGTTTGTTAAAAATTAAAAATTAAAGTGAGTTTGTTACTTCCACCGAAAGGCACTCATTTTCAAATTACACATAGTGACTTTAACTGTGTCCAGTGACTTTGCAATACAGTGCAGTAGCAGTGCTGAATGACTGAACAAGCAATTTATATGTATGAATGCATTTATTTGACTTTGGTTAAGGCAAAAATGCATCCATAAATATTTGTGTTTTCATGTGTACCTGTGTGCATCTCTATGTATCTGTGCATGGGAGTATTTTTATGAACTCTTCACCTACGTTTCTTTATTATGTGTGCCTATTTCTCATCCTTTTTTATGTTTCTGAGTTTGTCCTTGTGTTTTTAGCTTGTGTTTTCTGTTTTTGATCTTGTCTTCACGTATATGGTTGGTGTTTCCACAGGAATACTCGCTGCTGTATGAAGAGGCTACTTTCTTCCAGCTGGCTCCTCTGAAGGCTGAGCTGGAACGCTGGAGGACCGAGCGGGAATGTGGGGGTGTGTGTCGCGAGTGTGAGTGTGTGGTGGTTCACGTGGCTCCAGAGCTCGGCGAGAGGATCAGTGTGAGCACCCACCGGACGGTGATTGAGGAGGTGTTTCCTGAGGTGAGAGATGTCATGTCCAATTCCCTGAACACCAGCTGGAACCAGGACTCGGCGCACATCATTTGCTTCCCGCTCAATGGCTACTGCCACCTCAGCTCAGTTCAGGTACAAAATATACTGTGCGATCAGTTCTTTAGGACATCAGACAGCAGTGGCCAAACAGTCTTTCTTTCGGTCTGGTTTTCTGTCAGCATTTCTGTCCCCTTTTTGTTATGTTCCTCTTCTGTGAGCCATTCTGTGTCATACAAAAATGCACAGACAGTGTAGAAGTCTGTTCTCCCGCTAATACCATCAGTGACTCACTATACAATGATATCTTCTGTGGTTCGGACATTGGTAGCACATGTCCCCTCAAACAAACACGCAGGGTTCTGTACAACAGGGGTTTAGCATGATCTTAGTCTGACTCTCTGGATGTAGACTGTGGGTATAAGCCTGCCATTTCTCAGGCAGCATTCTCTTCTCTTGTCACTATTTTTGTGTCACCATTTTCAAAATCCCCTTCGCTAAAGGGAACAACGTGTCTGGGAACAACCTCCGTGCCACAACCTACACACTAAAAGTGCTGCACAGTTGTTTCGGTGAATTAGCCACTAAAATGACAGTGCTCGACTTTATAAATGCAAATGTTCTAATATTGTGTAATATCTATAGCGAACATTGGCATCAAGGGCTAGAATGTTTAGTGTTGCTTGGCAACACCATCCACTGCTCTGGGCACTAGCAGAATCATAGTTGTAACCATATCAATTTTATCTCCTAAGTATGAAACATGTTTTGTTTAAATTGGGACGGCCCCGATGGGTGCATAATCATTTCTGGATGTTTCAAACTGTATCTGCATCTTCACATTACCAAATAATCCAGGCCCAACACTGGGTCAGACAACGACTCCAGACCAGATTTTTTCTCCAGTTGTTGGGAGGGGTGAAATGGAGGTGAAGTGGCCCAAAATTCCTGTTGTCTGAGCCTGGGGTAAAGGCCTCTAGGTGTCTGCTCCATATAATAACTGGTTCTGCAGACATTCATTACTACCTGCCAGCTTCTCGCTTCTGTCTTGCTATCTAGTATATCATCAGGTCACTTTAAAAATGGTTATATGTTTTAATGCTTTCATTTCACCATCCGTTAAATTTTGACAGGAAATATTCCGCACAAGGACTCTTTAACATACTGAAAACAGTTAATAACAGTCGTGTGTTGGTGGGTGACACATTTCTTTATTGTCATTCTGTCTGTCTGTGTCTCAGAGGGAATCTCAGTTAGACAGAGCAGCAGCACAGAGGAGCAGAGGACTCCTGAGGGCACAATGAGATAATGTCACCATGTTCACTTCAGTGTGAAGGGACAGAGAGTGAAACTAATGGACTACGTCTGAACTAGTTTGTGTTTCAGGCCAGAGAGGCTGAGTATGAGATGGATTTTACCCAGAGAAGAAGACTGACCCTGGGCCTCGGGGCTTGTGGCCCAGCTATTGTTAGAAGCACATTTAAACACACACACACACAACTACAGACTAGGCCAGGTAAATCAAAGACAGCCACTACTGTGATTATTCTTCTTTCACATTCACACTTGGCGCACTTAGCAATCAGTTCGACTTTCACTTCTCAAGAAAATGTAATGATTTCACTATCCGCCAGATGGAAGTGTTTGTCCTGGTGAGACCTGGCTGTATCAGGTATAAGTACAGTGACCTTGGAAGCTCACCTTAGAAAACACACGCAAAGTCAAATAAAACGTTCACAGATGCCAAATGATTCGAGGCAGATGGCTGCCCTCCCCCGAATCTGGTTCTGTTAGAGGTTTCTGCCTGGTAAAGGAGACTTTTTTGTCCCTACTGTCGCCAAATGCTTAGTCTGGCACACTGGATGTAGACTTGGGGTATAAGTTTGCCATTTCCACTTCACATTTCATGTGACTTTTTCCTCTCCTCCTATCTGTGTGGGACCATTTTAAATTTGTCCTTCACTATAGGAAACAACAACAGTAACTTCTAGGCAGCAACCTACATGCTGAAAATGGCAAGTTTTAAAGATGATTTAGATCATGCAGGCAGCCCTGTTCTTTCAATGAATTAGCCATTTTAAAGGTGTCTCCTTGTGTGTAAATGTTCCACAAAAACAGTTCCACCATCACTGTTTTGCCAGGACACTGTTGCTGCATCCTGGGCTCAGCACTGGATGATTATGACTGGTTTGAAGAAATACAATCTGCACTGTATTTTTCCCTGATAGCAGAATGACAATGAGGTGCAGCCGTATTGTTCTCCATCACTATGGAGATGGATCTGCCTATGCAAGACTAACAAGCGCTGCTCAAAGGGGAATAGTTGGGTTCTCTATAACACAATAAGGTCTTAGCTGGAAGTACCCATTGATGACATGTTGTATTTGGCACTACATAACGAAAATTTAGCTGAATTGAAATGCAGTGAGTCTCCAAAGTCTGCAAAAGTTGGGAGGGGTTCCTCATTTTGTGACTGTGTAGACAGTATGCTCGACAGAAGTAGTGTCGTGTTCTTTTTATGCAGCCATGCCTATTTCCGTACAACACTACATTGCACACACCCAGGACATGTTATTTTTTGCTATGATCTGTTAGTTACTACAGTCTCATTGCATGATGCGGATCTTATCTGCAGTAGTCTTTTGTTGTCTATTACCCACAAGTACAAATAATGTCTGAATCAACGAGCAGGTATCATGCTACCACGTTAAAATATAAAATAAAAAAATGTATTTAAACTGTTCTTTTGTGTGACATGCAGTCTGACAGACTTTGATTTTATTTGACCTCCGTAGTTTTGGTTTGTCACTACATGTGTGGGTTTTAAGATGATCAAAACTGATGTTTATGAAATGTTCCACTGCAAAGTGTAAAGGGGTAGTAAGGATACATCATGACCATTGTCTGTTACAACACTATTAAAAATACAACCACAATTCTTAAAGAGATTTCTGCGTAGGTCAAAGCAGTTAATGTACCTGAAACCCTGTTCTGCCTCCACTCAGATTTATCTGAACTCCAGTAATATTTCCCCTCTGTTTTTTCAACATTATGACTTGCTGCTCTGACTAAGTACCGTTTGAATTAGCGATTGACATCCATACACTGATAGCATACATTTTTATTTGTAGAAATATGAGACCATCCTGGTGAAAATTATAGCAGCCTTTAGCTGACTCAGCCCCACCAATGATTCATGCGGTGGTGGTGCCTCAGTGTTTACTGGTGGAGGGCATGAAGGTGGAAAATATTAAACATTTACAGTGAATTCAGAGTGATCCCTGAAGTCCTAAGAGCTTCAACAAAAGGCAACTGGACTTCTCTTTTTGATTCTTAAAGATGTTTCACCTCTCATAGAGCAAGATTCTTCAGTTTCTGTTTCATCCATGAAATGTTGAGTCTGTTTTGTTTTTGTTTTTGTTTTTGTTGTTGTTGTTTTTTTGTTTTTTTTTTTTACCTTTGGCACTACATTAGAAGAAATGTTTTACTGAAAACCTTCTTGACAAATCATGTTCTTGTTTTTGTTGTGCGTGGCTGTAGGTATTGGAGCGGTTACAACAAAGAGGCTTTTGGATCACAGGCTCGTGTGGCGGTGGAGTGGACTCTTCTCAGTTTAGTGAATACATTCTGCGGAGGGAGGTCCGAGGCAGCCGACACCCCCCAACACTCATACCGATCAAACAGGAACTCCTGGACTGAACTCAGGACGTCGTGAAGGCCAGTTCTGTGGACGTACACAGACAAGAGCAGCATCACTTCAGTATAAAACAAAGTGACCAGACATGGATACACAGACATTCTAGCGATGCAGTGAAAGGGTGAAGGAGATATTTGTATTTCCTTTGACACTTTGTTTTCAGGTACCACATTAATATCAGACAGCATCAGTAAATGAACAGATCCATCAGTGCAAGATCCTGCAGGATGTCACAGGATCATCAATCATTTGCATTTGCATTTCTGTTGATATGAAATGGAGGTGCAGTGTTGATAAAATCTTTTATCACAGTGTCATTTTATTTTCTGATATAGTATGCTTTCGGGAACATTCAATTGACAGATAACATAACCCACTGAATTAAATACCTGATAAGTGAAGGTTTTTCATCACATTGATGCAAACATTCTGTAAATGTGTACTGCCACTGAACAGTCTTGCTCAGATATCAAGAATTCTCCCGCTGGCTTAACACCACCAGAGATATTAAAGGAGGACTATCCCCGTATGAACAGTACACCAACAGTTGTACCATGACTGATTATACACCTGCTTCAGCAAGTGCTCAGACCCCTTCACCTTTTGTACACTTAAAGGTGTAGATTTAATTTCATTTGGATGAGTTGAGCAGTAGCCATGAAGTGAGAATATGTTTTAATGGTGTTTCAGTAAATTGAAAACTGAAAATCACTCATTAAGAAAAGTATTCAGCGCCTTAATTCAGGAGTTTGTAAAAGCTACTTTAGCCGTGGGAACAGCTTCCAGTCTTCCAGGCTTTTGCTCACCTGGATTTGGACAGTTTATCCCATTTTTTATGCAGATCCTCCCTGGCCATATCAGATTTAAATGGGGGCATCTGGTTTCTCCACAGGTGTCTATTTTTTGGGGGGGTTTAAGTCTAGTCTTTGTTAGTTTTCCACAATTCTCGACAGATCTCAAGGGTTATTAAGGCAAGCATAATGCAGCTGTCCAATTTGGAGCCACTGCAAATAGTTTGTTTAGAGACTGATAGGGATGACATGGCAATTTTATTGATTTGAAATAAAAGTAGGACATGTAGGAAAAGAAGAGGTATGAATACTTCCTGAGAAGACTGTAGTGAATATTGTCATGTTTTCCAGCCTTACCCTACTAGTAGCAGACCACATGCTGAGGATGGAAGTCCACATATAAATGATTTTCACTTTATGCTGATAATTATTGGATTGTACAACAAAATCATATTCCAGAGGCGAGTCTCTACAGCTCATGAAGTGTAGGCATGGTTTGCACAGTGGCTTTTTTAATGCAATAGGAAAGTTTCAGTGATTCAGTATTTTCACGTAATAACGGGATCCATTTCGGTGACTGTTCAAGAACATCCCATCGTATCATTTTTTGTTTTTTTTAAATCATTTTGTGAATTCAAAAGCCATGATGGATTGATGCTTACGCTAGATTTTTTGGGAACTTGTTGAGCCTGCTGAAAAACAAAGCATGTCAGCGTACATATGTCAGTGCACAGAGACCTCCAGGGGCTGCGTGATGTACGACTGAGGATCGGTGTGATGTTGCTCTACTGACAGAGGCGTCAGATCAGAAGACGTTCGCGCATATTGATCTGAAAGGCGTTGACAAATGATGCAGTTTTTTTTTTTTTGAGAACCTCCTTATGACAGCAGGTTTGCATTTGACATTTTGACATGAGATGGTCCCACGCTGCTCACAGGGAGCAAAGGACTGTTCAGCATCTCCTTTAGTACGCAAAGGTGGTGCACAAAACTCATATTTGCCTTTCAGAGGTGAGGTCTCAAAATTTTTCAGAAACAGTATTTTTCCAGGAAAGGCTGCTGGTTGTAATGTTCATGTTGTACGTGTTCAATGCAACTGTGTGTGTGTGTGTGTGTGTGTGTGTGTGTGTGTGTGTGTGTGTATATATATATATACATATATATATATTGCATGTGCTTTGAATACTTGCATGTACTGTTGCATTGATTTGTAACATTTGCGGAGACCATCAGATCAGTTACTTTTACCCGGAGCAAATCTGTTTGCACTTGGTAATGTAAAACGAAAAACTAAGTCTTATTTATTCAGCCTTAATTTTATTTATGGCATGCAGTGTTTTTAATTGTACAAGCACAATTTCTCTCTTCATCCTGTTTGAGAAAATAGAGAAGAAGAATCTACACAGAATGTATTTTCAATGCAACCTGCTATCTTTTCCAAATATGTTTTATGGGACAAGTTGGGGGTTAGGAAGAGCAGGACAGCAACTCCAGCCTGAATTGTTTATTTATGGAATGTTTTTTTTTCTTTGTTTTGCACAATTACTGTAAGATAATTTCATGATTGACTAATAAAAATACAATAAGTGATACAAAGTGATAACTAAGAGTTTTGAAAGGCAAAATGCAACAACATCCCTCTAGAGTTTTACTTTGAAGAAACAAATCTTATGTGATTTGTCATGGTATAGTGGCACCGTCTATGTGGTGATTATGGACTTGTACTACTTTGTGTTTTGGATCCCCGCTGTTTTCCTTGTGTGTTTGGCTGGCTGTGTGATTTATTTTCAGGTTAAGCAGGGCTGGTTGGAGGAGGATGCTCCCTCGTTGGCACAGCTGCGGCTCATTGCCTCATCAGCGGACAGGTTAACACCACTGTTCACCTGAGCTCCAGTGCCAGACGACTGGCAACTCCATGAGTGGTACATTCAGGCCTGTCTCTACTGAGTATATGTGGTTCACGCTAAGCAATCTCGAGCTCACAAGCAACCGTTGTTGTCTCTCTCTGTTCCCCAGCGTCCCCTCCACTGGTCCAAGCATCCAGCCGTTCAGTTCCCCACGCCAACCTTTCCCTCCGCAGAAACACGAGTCGGATTTTCCCCCTACACAAGCACCTGCATGAGAAATCACCTTTCTTCACCTGTGCTGTGACCAGCGCACCTGCCCCAAATCCCTCACCTGCCTCCTGGTGTCCCACACCCCCCGGTGTGTCCCTAAAATAAACCTGTTTTTCCCTTTAAACCCGTCTCCTTCTCGTTTGGGTCCAAACCCATGTCCTTTGGCCACCGGGCCGTAACGGCTTAATTTGTTTTATTTGTTTTTGTTGACGCGAGGGTACAATGACTGTCTAAAGGGAAATAATGCAGCCTGATTTAGGCTCTCTGCAGCTTTTGATTGGTGATCTGTGACTTTGACAAGCCAGTGTGATTCTGAAAAAATGTGACAGACAAAAGGCCTGCTTGTCACGACCCAACCACTGCAACAAAACTGAAAAACACTAAGCAGAGGGTGAGCAAAAAATAACTTCTGTGAATGAAAATGGCTCATTTAAGCCTTGGTTTAGAGGTTTGATCAGTTTAATAATAGCATATTCCTTGAAGAAGTTGATATTACGAAGGATGAATGTTTCAATAAATACATCAGAAATTCCATACAAGATATATTTCTGCCTTCAGAAAGATTGTTTTGGGTTTTGCTTTATGGATAAATTAATTGGCAGAAAATCTGGCTAATCGTGGGTAAATTAAGTCTTAGAAATAAAATGAAAGAGTTTACAAAACATTTTATTTTGAGTATATCCAACAAAGCAGACAACCGACAGAGTTAGACTTAATTCTTGAAACTTTTGCAAACCAAGTTCTTTCAGCGATGTACATCTTGTTCTGAAGTATTTTGAGTGGGTGGTGAGTATATACTGCTGGCATTTATTGCCTTTTTAAAACCATGACATGAGGCGTTTTTAAATAAATGTGTGTTAAGATAATTGTAGCACCCAAATTCTCACTTAGGAATTTTTGGGGATTCTTTATGAAGTCCTGGAAAAAATTGTTTCATCTGTTGGCAGGAACCCTTAGCTAGATAAGTTCAAAGTGTGCTACTAATGGCTGCTACTTTTTCAAACTCACATTCATTTTGCAACACATTTTCAACAGCCATATATTTTGGAGGAAAATCAGTTATTAATGTAGATTTTCAGCTGCAGCTGCTCGTCATGTCTGTGCGCCTCGAACGCAGCACAGGCGGGATATGGTGCGTTCAAGGATCAAGCTGCGCTCCTGCTGATATTCACTGAAAGACAGGTGAGCTCCTGTCCGCTTGTAAAGCGTTTTGAGTGTCGGTGAAGGGAAACGTGTGTAAGAGACGTGAACCGTGTTACTTAAACTCGTTCGTTTGGATGAAGCAACACTAAAGCTCTGCTCAGAATGTGACAACGGAGCTAATCGCGGAGGTACTTTGCTCAATTTTTCATACATTCATAAGTTGGCTGGCTAGTTAACAATAGGGAATTGGTAAACTTATGTCAAGTAGGACTGCAAGGTGGCGCAATTGGTAGCACTGTTGCACCGCAGCAAGAAGGTCGCCGGTTGGGGGCACCGGGATCTCTCTGCGTGGGGTTTGCATGTTCTCCCCGTGCAGTGTGGGTTCTCTCCGGATTCTCCGGCTTCCTCCCACACAGTCCAAAAACATGTTGAGGTTAATTGTTGATTCTAAATTGTCCGTAGGTGTGAATGTAAGTGTGCTCGGTTGTCTGTCTGTACGTGTAGCCCTGTGATAGACTGGTGACCTGTCCAGGGTGTCCCCTGCCTTCGCCTTAGGTCGGCTAGGATAGACTCCAGCCCCCCTTGTGAGGATTAAGCGGTGGTGTATAGATAGTGAATGGAAGGATGTTAAGTAGGTAGCAAACAAAGCAAAAAAGTATAATTCTATACGCAGAACTCTCTTCGCCTGGAAACTTAATTGCCTACACCTGTAGTTTTTAGCTACAGGTGATAGCTTAGCTACTAGCTTAGCGCGTCGTCTTTCAAACAGTTTAGTAAAGGGAGCTAATTAGCGGCTTGACTTTGGTTAAAGGTCAGCGAACACAGCATTACGCGGTTAACGTTAAGGTTTAAACTGCCAAATATATAATGTGGGTAATGGAATAAATATTTGGTTCATACTTGACAGGATCAATGTTTTTTATTTGAAATGCAATATTTTCAGCGGGGTTCGTGTGTCAGCTTAAAACTACTAAATTCAGTTACTAATTTTAATTGAGCATTTTAATTTCATGCTCCTTTAGACTTTCCAACCGCTACATTTAAGACACATTTACATTTAAGATAAAGGTTCTCACAAAGTAAAGTGTAAAAAAAAAAGTTAAAATTAGATTAATAGTTAAACCAGTGGTTTTCCATCGGTCTTAAACAAAGCTATGTTTATTCATATTCGTGATATAATTTAAGGTTAGTCTTTAACTCAGTATTCACTGTTTAATATATAAAAAACATGATGTAACGTCATATGAAATATCAAATATTAACTGTTTTTTATTCTAATGCCTGAGTACTTTAATTACATTTGGTTTCTAATACTAATGTAATGAGATGCAATGTTTCATGCTGGACTTTTACTTGTAATGGAGTATTTTTACATTGCTGTATTGTAGGTTGACCACATTTTGATTACTGAAAACCAGGACACTCGGCCTGGCAATGAGATACTCAAATCATACTCGAAGTTTACTCAAAGATGCTTCATAATTTCCATACATTTAAAGTATGCCTCCTCCAGGAAAGGATCAGAACATTTTCATCACTTTATAAAAAAACAACCAAGACGACCAGGACAGGACGTGTTAACAGGACATGTCCTTGGCAAACAGGACGTTTGGTCACCCTACCGTATTGGCAGTGTCACTTGAGTAAAATATCACTGTACTTTTTCTACGGCTGCTTCTTTTATACAGAAATATTCATGGCCACAAATAAAGTGGTCATCGAAGGCCAGAAGCTGGAGTCCTGTGGGGCAGCAGGGGATGGAGACTGCTCTGTTCAAGTCCGGATATTACAGGTCCCAGCTAAATGTGGGCCCATCTGTGCAGTTCAACCCCCACCGACTGCTGCAAGTACCTCAGAAGGTGACTGTGTCCCACCTAAAGTCATCCCCAGTCGTCAGGGATACCAGCCTACCTCATCCTCTGTAGGTACAGGCCCAGGCTCTCACACTTCCCCTCCTTCCATCATGGTGGTTGCAAAGGCAGCCACTCCAGGAGGAATGAATCCTAAGGTTGCAACTCCTGGAAGGACTATGGTTATAGCTGTGCCCAGATCAGCAGCTCCACAGCCAGTCGCCCCTCGACCGCAACAGACTGCTTCTGCACAGCTCCCTGCCAATATCCAGATACCACCAGGTAAGCTGTCAGTGATTGCAAATTATAGTCTTAATTGCTCTCATTTGTAGTTATATAACTCCCGTTTAACAATTCTGATTTTGTATAAAAAGTAAACAGTATGTTTAGTCTGTGTTACTGTGTAAATATGAACGGTTCATGATGTGCACATACTTCAGCTAGCTCTCCCTCTAGTTGGGACAAGTCATCCATTTGTTATAGTAATAAGGGATTTTAAATTCTTTTATTTATTTCTTTTATGTGGTTTGCAGGTATGATGCTGATCCGCAGTGACAGTGGTCAGCTGATGCTGGTATCCCAGCAGGCTTTGGCACAGGCTCAACATGGACCCAGAGTTGTCAGCGGTCAAGCACCAAGAATACTGGCAACACCGGTGTGTGTGCTGCTGCTTTTGATGTTTTTTAGTTAATTGTACTGACATCTCACTGGTGCTATGCTGTCACATGGCTGTCATTCTGCAATTCAGGTACCTGCAGCAGCTGGAGGTAAAAGTAACGAGAAGGTGACAGTGATCCGGATGGCAGCACCCTCCGGTTTCCAGCCAGCACCAGTCCAGAAGACAGCTGTGGTAACAACACAAGAGCTGGTTTACAGTTAACAGTCAGTTACAGTGGCTCATGCAGTGACATGAGTACAGCTGTACGCACACATGCTCCGTTACAGATTATGTTGGTACAACTCCTGCAGCAAATGCACATCAAAGAAAATCCTTTTCTTTTTTTTAAATTACTTGAAATCAGGAGTTACATTTAGGTTCCCATCAAAAATCAACCAAAGCTTCCCAAAAGTGGGCATACAACTGGGATGCTTCATCTGCCACTAATTATGGTAATGACAAATCAGGGTATGTTGTCCTCCCAAAGTGTACACTGAACAAAAATATAACCTCCCCATGTTGTTGTCATGTGGAGTTAACAACTGTAAATGAGCATTTGCTGACATTTTATTGTACAAAAGTAATATTTCTCTTGATTTGTGTATAATTTTTAATCCAACTTGCTGTCAGTGAGCATTACTCAGTGAGTTGTTTTTTTACTCAATGCATAGCATGGGCATGTCCAGTGGGTGATCAGACAAAATGAGCAACAGCTGGACAATCCTTGGACTGGGGACAATAAAAGGTCACCCCAAAATGTCAAATTTTGTCACAAGTCATAATCCCTCAGATGTCGCAAGTTATGCGGGAGCATGCCATTGGCACGTGCCAGTGCACTACTGCAAATCGACCTCATCCTCGTCAGACACGTGTGACCACTCCAGCACAAGATCACCACATCCGGCTCGTCCATCTGCGGGATCTGCTAAGACCAGTGACACACACAGCTGATGAGACTATTGGTCTGCACAACAGACGCATCACACCTCAGACTGTCCGTAACATATTTGACATGGGGCATTTATATTTTTGTTCAGTGTATTTACATCACACCTAATCCTGTTCTAATCAGCCCTGGGAGAAAAGCTGGACCTTAAGCTTGACACCTCATCATCATAATGGGAAACACACTGAAAAATGAAGAAAAGTCTTCCATTTGACTCAACTGAGCGCCAACATTGCAGACTGTGCTTGGCAACTTAACAGCACCTTGACATTACACTCAGTTTGACAAGTTATTCAGCTGGTTACCTTCACAGCTGGCGACAAAAAAGAAATCATTCCACATGCACTTTTGCCATAGAGGTAGTTTTGCCAAAAACAGTAATAATTGCTGAGAAAAGAACATAAGGGGATTAATTGCAGGAATATTGTGACATTCAAGCTTTGGAAAAGGGAATCTTTACAGTCCAACAGACAAAGTGTATAACTGTGAGACAAACAGGTATTGAGCTTTTGTGCAGAACAAAGTTCCACCAATTATCCTCCAGATTCTGCCTCAGTTTAAGACAAGCATTTATTGTTTATTAGCCATTACCAGTATGTGCATGCCTATTATTATGATGTCAGTGAGTTTTCTTTCTCTTCCTCTTTGTAGTTTGGGATGATAGCTTATTTTATGTTGTGTTCAGGTGATTGGTGTTGCTCCCAAACCATCTGTGGTTCAGACCCTCAGTACTGTGTCTGATTGGGAGAGTCTTCCTCGCATTCAGACGGCCATTACAGAAATCAAAAAGGATCCACCAGCCACGTTCAGTCAGGTGAGTCCAACCAATTGTGACCAGCATACTTAGCTTGGTTGTCACTTAGCCTGGAAAACAAACTTAGGTCTGCATTGTCGAACAAGACAACATGTAAGTAAACAAACCAGTCCAAGAGCAAACCAAGACCATGATGGCACGTCTTCCTAAACACTTTCTGGTCGTCTGGTTTAACAAAATACAGACACTAAGCTAGAGCCTATCCCAGCTGACTTAGGGCGAAGGCAGGGGACACCCTGGACAGGTCGCCAGTCTATCGCAGGGCTACACTTAGAGACAGACAATCAAGCACACTCACATTCACACCTACGGACAATTTAGAATCACCAATTAACCTCAACGTGTTTTTGGACTGCGTGGGAGGAAGCTGGAGAACCTTTGGTTTAGTGTTCTGAATCTGGGTTGACCTGTCTGGTTGAGTCTAGTTCCGTCTTATCTGACATGGTTATGTCATTGTGGTACTGTTCCCCTGGCTTCGCAGCCAATTAACTTTTATCACCTTTCATGCAATAACTGTTCATAGTGCAGGGTCAGAACAAGTCCAGTGGGGATTTTATTCTACCATTTGGGCTCTGTTGTGATTCTGTTCATACTAAATCCAGCTGCCACTGACACGCGTAACTGCACAGCACTAACTCATCATACATCAACACACACTCACATTAAGTCATAGCATCCTGTGTAATCTTCCATATAACCTTAGCTTTTGTCAACCAATTAAGACCTTGCCTTGTTTACAACTCCCAATTCAACTGAGAAACAGTTTAAGTGTCGTACAGCTCTCATGTATTGTACTAATGAAAATAATGAAGGTTGTAGAAAAATAATGTACTCGAACGCCTTTTTTCTCTTTATATTGTGATACCTGTGTGTGGTACGAAAATGCAGTGGTTTTCGCAGATGGTCTACTTCTCCCACTGACAAAAATAATGGATTAACCCTGGAAGGCTGTTGATGTAATGCTTTTCTCCTTAAGAAAGTAACACTGCCAATAGTGTTGCTAGATCCAATTAATGACAATTGGATCGGATGAGAGTATGTTGATCGAAAAAGCCGACCTGGACACTACAGCCCTTGGCATTGCATAACTTTGCTGCAACTGATGTAGCAACTGTTTTGACAACAGGATTAGGTCAGCTTCATTAAAAGTATAACATTTTATTTGAGAGTTTTACAAGTGATACAAAGCTGCATAAACACTGAAGCCTTTGTTGCAAACAAGTAGATAGAAAATTGTTTTTACCCGATATTTTACCAACAGGAAACCCTGGAAAGTGTGAAAAAGTGCAAGAACTTCCTGGTAACTCTGATCAAGCTGGCTTCGAGTGATTCCAAGTCTGCTAACATGGCTAACAATGTCAGAGGACTGGTCAGAAGTCTGCTGGTACTTATCCTGCCTTACATATTATTGTCCAGTCTACTTTTGTCCACAGAATGTAAGACTTATTTTAAAATATCTTGCTACTAAGTAGACCTAAAGGCATTACTTTTTTCAAGCCTGTTAATAAATGCTGAGTTAATTTTGTCAAATTCCTGTTCTTTTTCTTATAGTGGACATTTGCAGTTACGTAATGTTTAGCAGTTGTAAATGATCAGTTATTTACTTTGTACATGCAGAAGTATGTCATATTTTAACCTGCAGGAAGGGAAGCTGGAAGCAGAGGAGTTTACAGAACAGCTCTATGATGAGTTGAAGTCGACTCCGCAGCCCTGCTTGGTGCCTTTTCTCAAGGTGAGAAGAGATAGAACAACTCCTAACCTCCTGAAGTGTCTGCAGGTCCTGAAAAGTCTCAGTGGGTCTGAAGTTAGTTCAAAATTAATATAAATTGTATGATCAAACAGGAGAGAAATACTGAAAAGGAAGATTAGGTTGCAAAAAGAAAAGCAGTATCAGTTATAGGGCTGCACAATTAATGGAATATCAATCACCACCACAATTTTGGCTTCCCATAATTAAATTAGCATGATCGTTGTTGGAAATGCTCCGCTCAGAACACAGCCCATGTAGATAGAATCACTTTGCTTTAACTTGGGTAAATCTGACATGAAAATGATTTCTTTAAAATGATTTTTAGGTCACACACCTGTCTGAACAGCTGCAATTTAGTAACTAAGTGGAGACTAGAGGCTTCTAGTGCACAGGCACCTTGCCAGTATCTACCGTAGCCTGTCTATTAGGTATTAAAGGAACATTAGTACATTGTAGTGGTTGTTGATAAAAGAGACATTTTGGGTACACTATTATATTTTACGTCAAGGAGATGCTCTACATACAAGTAAACATTATGTCAAGATTTGTACACAAGCAGTAATGTAGCACAACATGGAAGTTAAAGGTGTGCTCTGTTTATTCAACAGTAAAATGGAATTTGTTTGACGATAAGATTTCTTTTCACTTGCCTTTTCCTCTCCAGAAAAGTCTTCCTGCAGTTCGTTGCCTTACCGCAGACCCCCAGTTATTTATCCAACAAGCTTCAGCTTCCACCCGCAACCCCACTCCTCTGTCATCCACTGTGAAGCCTTCCAGCACTGACACAGGACAAACCCTGAAGACCAACCAGCAGGTAACCAAATGTTGTTTGGTTGTATGATGTGATGAGCAGTTTACAAAAAATGTAATTATCAATAAAATTGAGAAACATTACATTTGAGGAAGTCAGAGAAAAGACAGGTAGCATGAGCTGTCTGGTCATTAAGTGTGTTTACATGCCCTAAAGTCACCTGGGGTCCGTTTCACAAAGCAGGGTTAGTGAAGACTCTGAGTCTGTTAACTCCAAAATGAGGGAAACTCTGAATTTTCCGTTTTACAAAGGGAGGTAACTCAAACCCGAGACATTTGGGTAACTCTAGTCTGTTTCACAGAGAGAAGTAACTTAAGACCTCGGTCAGTTACCATAGTAACAGGCTCTATGAATCTAACCTGGTGGGGACCAAGTTTTTCTCAGTGAACCTCGAGTTTCTCTCTGTCTCCATCCCCTTTCAGCCACACACGCTATTTGATTTTATTTCTCATTCATTCAGTCAGCAGGCGAGTTTTGGCGTAGCCTAGTTCTGCCATCTGTCAAAAATCATTTAAAAAATGGTCGGAAATAATACACACCCGCCACTATTGCGCGGCACCCCCGATATTCGTCATTAATTGGGACCGAATGTCCGGAGATCAAAACTTGCTATTCGGACAGGCCCTAGAAAGAGCATCTCCCTTTACCAGATCGTTTCCTATTTTTTATGAGCGATACAGATTCTCAGCTGAGGGAATGTGTTTTATCTGTAAACATGCTGAGTTGTGCGTTACTAATACCCAGGTAGTACTTGGCTGCTTAGGTTGGCAGTTACCGTTCTGTTGCCACCATCGACAGCGACAGCGGGGGATGTGGAGGCTGGGGCAGATTGCGGGCGAATATATATCATATACTACCACAACGATGGAATTTTTGGATATTAGAATGTTCGGGTCCAGCCCTACTGTATATATCACATTGCCATGAGAACCCGACATCTTAAGTTGGTGATGCAGAAATCACATAAATATGTTTTCATGTTTGGCTCTGATTTGCTGTCAAGTCCGTTTAAACTGCTGGTACTGCTGCTGATAGAACACAGTTGAGAAAATGGATTATTCTACTGGTATTTGTAACAAAGAATATTAAATCAATAACATTAGCAGAAAGCCTGAGTTGACAAAGAAAGTTTATAACCACCTTTGTGATATCCGTAGTCTCTGGCTGGGGCTTTCGGTTTTGTCAATTCGATTTACACAAAGAAAGCCTGGCTACGTCAAACTTGCTTCGTAGTATACCCCTCTGGTCTCTCTGACAAACTGTAGTGAATGTAACCACACTATATGATGCAACCTGAAGTGAGACATTTGAAACATTGTTGAGCAGCTCAGTTCTGCAACATGTTAGGGTTCGTTTGTGCGCAATGTCTTTTTCTGCTATAACTTGTGTATTGTCTATTTTGTCATAATTTAAATTGGAAAGAATTTGCAAAATGTGTCAACAGGCTGACTTTAGACTGTTCAGGTTAAGCAGTAATGTGGATCAGCCAGGTGTCACCTTTATTACATGGTAAATGGATGGAATGATGGGACTGCTGCTTAATGATTGCTCTTAAAAATGCAGGGTGCTCAGCAGGCTCGAGGAGTGACTGTGAGACCTGGGCTGACAACATTCACCCAGTCAAGACATTATGTGTATAAAAGAGGTGGACCTGTCCCCAAACACACAGTGGTCCAGTCAGGAAGACACTTTGCAGGTAACTGTTGTGACACATCTGAGGTCTCACAATTTGATTCTTAGTCTTGGTGTCAAGAAACAAGGTAGAATTGATGAACATATTGAAACAAGTGAAAGTCTAATTCACTGACCAGTGTCAGAGGATTACACGCTGAACTCAAAGTAGTTTTTTTTTTTTTTTTTTGCTTTTGTGACATTTTTACTCACTATGGGCTCAAGTTTCACTGCGATATAAAGTCCTTGACCTCCATGGAAACAGCAGAACAATGACAAGAAGTAGAGAGAACTCAAAACATGTCAGGTGTCACCAATACTGGACAAAGCGGTGGCTGCACATGCTATAGATGATTATTTATGTTTTATCAATTTCTGTAATCTAGGCCTATTTCACTGTACTTTGCACATCAACTCTGTTGAGCCATGTTGCATTTATTGTATTGATCAAGTTTTTTCCTCAGTCTCTCTGTTTAGTTTCTCATTTCTACTCTTTGTAAACACAGCCTGCAGTTCAACTGAACAGTCCTTGAGTTTTTGCAACATGACTGTTGGATACTGCTAAATAATTCACGGCTTTCCAGTTGTGCTGAGGAGCTCAGAACTTTTTCTTTCTTATAGCATCTGGTTAAGTTTTTTTTTTATTTTTTTTTTTTTTTTTTTTATTTTTTTTTTTTAACTTAGATTTGGTAAATTTCCCAAAGGCACCTCATGTCACATATTATTAGTTCAAGGGCAGTTGTTTGGTGAAAATTTGATGGTTATTGAAGTTTTTACAGTTATTATGGCAAAGAGTTTAGGGTTCAACAGGATAAATGTTTTTGTTTTTGTTTTGTTTGTTTTTTTTATAAAGAACTTGAGCGGCATGCTCAGCAGTTACACGTTGGCTCCAGTGAAACTCATTAGTATCCACAACTCTGTGCAAGAGATCAAAACAACTCTGAAATGGAGGAGACTGTGCTGAGTTACTTTCTTTTGTTTATTTTGTAAAATGCTGCTCTCTGTGTTAGTCATATTTGCTTGTGATGAAGTTTACCAATGCTGATATTCACACGATGAGTACTTCACCTTTGTCTTGCATTGAAAATTCAGCTATTGATTCCTCAAACCCTTTTACGTTATCAGAGAATGGTAACTGTAACAGTTGCATTCATGAACTTTACACCGTCATTATGTTGCTCTGTGGCCTTGCAGTTGAGTGCTGCCTTTTGTCATCCATCATTGTAATGTCAATAATGGACAAAAATATTTCAGTTGTGAATCAGTTCATTGCTCTGTTACCGCAATTTCAGCCCACCCGAATGTTTTAGTTTCTAAAAGGAGGTTTGTAATTTGAAAACTGAGCATGGTGGAGATACATGTACAGATCAAACTACACCCACAAACTCTCACATGGACTGTGCTAAATTAATTGCCGCTCTCCAAATACCTTTGTATTTTTGTTTTTTTTTTACAGGAGCTTTTTCATTGAAGCAGACCTTCTCTCAGGATCCACCTCCTTTTACCAAATCTGCATTCAAAGACAGCTTAGGATCATACAAGTAACATATAAAGTTCATGTTTTTAGACTCAAATGTTAAGAATTTGTGGATTTAGTTGTGGTCAGTGAATGCATTATTTCAGTGATTGTCCTCAGAAAGACAAGAATGTGTTTGTTTCTCAGAGAAGATGATGACATTAATGATGTCGCCTCCATGGCTGGAGTCAACCTGAGAGAGGAGAACGCACAGATCCTGACCACCGTGGTCGGCTCTGTGGTGCAGTCATGCCAGGATCAGCTGTTCCTCTCACCTCACCCGGTACTCAGCCGGATCCTTCACACAGGTACAGGAGCTGTACTGAGACAGAGCTCAGTCAGTCTTCTTGATGGTTGGGTCATAAAGCATTAATTAATATGAATTAATCATTATTGCTACAGGCTTGTTTTTTCTACTTGATAGGGTGATTTGAGAGTAGCATGCCAAATAACAGTTTGTAATAATATTTTTTGTTAGAAATTGTCTTTATGTACATGAAAACAGTAGATTTTTGTTTTAAAAAAGAGGTTATTTTTAAATGCATTCATTTACACCTCTATTTATCTGCTTATTTCTCTTTCCTTTTTTAAAAATGTTTTTAAAATATTTTTGTGTAAGTTTGTTGATTGGCTAAATTTGCAGTCTGTCAGATGCTTTTCACATTAAATTACACATCCCTTCTTCGTGGTTTAATTGCTCTCGTATTCACTGCGGTGAGGTATAGCACATATTATATTATAACATGTAACTTTGCCTTTTCAGCAATGCCACTTGCTTGTCTGTACAACATAGTGTGGATGACAGTGTTTTTTTGCTTATAGATATTATAGACATATTTAATCATAGTTATAAGCTGCATCCAGCTGCATGTCCGTTGCTATACTCATGACTCTTGTTTGAATTACTCTTGAACTTGTCATTGCATAGATATGTTAATGTCTATGAAATGTAATATGAACATATTTATGTATTGATGAAAATTTTATCACAAGACAGAACAGAACAGTAGCTTTGTAATTGTGCTGGTCACGTATTTACCCATGTCGATGTGATGAATGTGAAGACAGGTTTTCTACAAAGTAATATCTTTATTAATTTCTTCACGCATTTCCATGGTCCTGCTTCTCAGTTGAATAATTCACAAAGTCCCAGTCACTTTATAACAGACCGAGAGTATATAAACATTATATATATATATATGTATATCAAAATGAACAGCAGAAGATAATCTTTCTGATGATACCAATTGTTTCTGTGTGGAATTAAATGTGGCTCTATGTTTTTTTCATTCACTTGTTGTTCATTGTGCTATCATGTAATACGTTGAAGACATACAGTAAATATATGGTTCTAATTATCGTTCTGTGTGTAAGTTCACTTTGTAAGGAAGTGCCTGAGAAAAGCGACACTCAGGTGTGTCTTTGTGTGTCTCTTGTTGTGATATTTTTGTGCCCTTTGTTAGGACAGGCACTGGGAGTAACTGATGTGGGTCCAGAGGTGGTAGCTCTGGTTTCTCATGCCACTCAGGAGTGTCTTCGTGGGCTGCTGGAGAAACTCACTGTGATTGCTGAACACCGCAAGGCTGCCCTGAAGGTACATTAGTCTGACCCTGACTTAAAATAGGAGAGAACATCCATAGTGCCTCATAAAGGATGCATTTATTCTCACTTAAGCCGTCGCTGTGCAGCCTCACACAGCTGCTAGCATGGCTCTGTTCTAAATATGCATGTGCAATTACAAGTGCAGAGGTGGTCACAGATTGTGATGCAGTGTCTGTGTAGTATACAGCGTACAGTTTTCACCAAAAACACAAAATTCTTTGCACTCCCTCATTACTGCTTTTTTGCTTTCAGAAGATTCACTCACTATGCACTCATTACCAAAACACCACAGAGGTGCTAGAGAAGAATATCAAGGTCACTAAAACACCAAACTGTCATTGTGCTGCTTTCTTTCTGTTGTGGCGCCACCATAGAACAGGGACCTTAGTAAGGCATTTAATTAGCTTTAAAACCTGTACACATAAAAAACATTCATGTGATAGGAGCATACAGTATTTTCGAGTGTGAAACCATGCTTACGAGGGAGCAAATGCATTTCTGCAAGTGTGGAACTGTGATGAGAGCTTTCTCACAACTGTTCAAAGGTTGTCAAGTAGATTTAGAATCATTTTATAATCAAAAGAATTCTGACTTAACCTATTACTGTTAGAAAATCCTGCAATGACAGTAAAAATAAATATCAGTTTCACCTCTTCCTTTTAATTGACAAATTAATAATTAAGACTTTTAATCCAATAATATAATATAATAAACATTATATTGAAATGTGCCATTGTTGTGCAATGAGGTCTGCTCTTGTGTTGTCAGCACATTTTGATAGTGATACTTTTGTCGATTTACTTATGAATTTATGTTATGCCGGGGTTTTCCTTGGAACAGAGTACTGATACTTATACTTAAGTTAAAGATATGAGTATTGTCCTGCCTTTAAAGGCTCAAAAGTCAAGGTGACAAGTGAGTGAGTACTGAGCAGTTGCGAGAATGAGGGGAGGGTCAAGCAAGTCCTGTGCTCACAGGACCCTGTTTGTACACACAGAGCAGAAATGCTCCCTCAAAAGGATAGTTTTCTGCTTCTGTTCTGTGGGCTTGTATCACGTGGACACTCCTGGTTTTCATGTGCATATAATTTGCCACAAGTTAAATGCAGTACATTAGTGTGAGACTTGTGTGTGTTTGTGTGGCAACAGGAGGACCAGTGGCATGCTAAAGCCAGTGATGTGCGCTCTCAGCTTCGCTTCCTGGAAGAAATTGAGAGTTTGAAGAAGAAGAGAAAAGATGAAGAGGAAAGAGAGCGACTGCTACGTTTGGCCAGAGTAAGCACGTACAGAAAGTATCGGAGACTTACGCTAGTTTCCTTTGTAAACATTGAAAGTTTTTTGTATACATTTTATTTTAGGTCACAGCAGCATTTGATCTGAAACCACTGCACTGTCTGTAAAAATGTCATTTCTGTCTATTTTTGAGCATTAAATGCTGATTATTAATTGTCCGTTTGTCTGTTTGTGGTCACAGAGTCGCTCACACACAGAGGATCCACAGCAACAGCAGCTCAGGCAAAAAGCCAAAGAGGTAGGCTTCATTCAGAAAAATGTCTGCGTTCTGAGCCCCTTATTCACTTCATTTGACACTCAGTTGTAGGTAGTTCTGTATGTGGTTAGATGTTTGTCTGGATGGATATCTCCTCCCTCCATTTTAGAAAAAAAATGATTTGCACATACCCATCATGTTTTTAAAAAAAATGTACAATCTGCACTTAAAAAGACTGGTAACACTTTATAATAACTATCCATTATAACTAGTTAATAGGTCATTTGTAAACTGTTAATTAGTGAGTTATTAACCACTTGTTAAGTGTTTGTTAATAGTTTGTTGATATTTATAACGATGCCTTATAGATAGTTAATAAACCATTTACAAACTGTTAGTTAATGAGTTATAAATGACTTGTTAACTGTATATTAATGATTTACAGCCATACCTTATAAACCAGTCATAGATCACGAACAAGCCATTAGTGAATTACTTACTAATGACTTGTTAAGTATCAGTTAATAGTTTATATATGTTATTGGGACATTACTCTAAAGTTGCAACTATTCCTCATTTATTAACTGCTGGTAAATGAGGAATAGTTGCAACTTTAGAATAACGTCTCAATAACATCCATCCATCCATCCATCCATCTTCTCCCGCTTATCTGGGGTTGGGTCACGGAGGCAGCAGCCTGAGCAGAGCCGCCTAGGCTTCCCGATCCGCACACACCTCCTCCAGCTCTTCTGGGGGGGACCCCCAGGCGTTCCCAGGCCAGTCGAGAGACATAGTCTCTCCAACGTGTCCTGGGTCTTCCCCGAGGCCTCCTCCCGGTGGGACGCGCCCGGAACACCTCCCCAGGGAGGCGTCCAGGAGGCAACCGAAACAGATGCCCGAGCCACCTCAGCTGGCTCCTTTGTGGAGGAACAGCGGCTCTACTCCGAGCTCCCCCCGCGTGACCGAGCTCCTCACCCTATCTCTAAGGGAGCGCCCAGCCACCCTGCGGAGGAAACTCATTTCGGCCGCTTGTATCCGCGATCTCTTTCGGTCATTACCCATATCTCATGACCATAGGTGAGGGTTGGAACGTAGATTGACCGGTAAATCGAGAGCTTTGCTGCCTTGCTCAGCTCTCTCTTCACCATGACGGTCCGGTACAGCGACCGCAACACTGCAGACGCTGCACCGATCCGTCTGTCAATCTCACGCTCCATCCGCCCCTCACTTGTGAACAAGACCCCGAGATACTTGAACTCCTCCACTTGAGGCAAGGACTCTCCACCGACCCGGAGAGTGCAAACCACCTTTTTCCGGTTGAGAACCATGGCCTCGGACTTGGAGGTGCTGATCCTCATCCCGCTCGCACCACTCTCGGCTGCAAACCGCTCCAGTGCACGCTGGAGGTCCTGATTTGATGAAGCCAACAGAACAACATCATCCGCAAACAGCAGAAATGAAATTCTGTGGCTTCAAAACCGAACCTCTTCCTCCGCCTGGCTGCGCCGAGAAATTCTATCCATAAAAATAATGAACAGAACCGGTGACAAAGGGCAGCCCTGGCGGAGGCCAACGCGCACTGGGAACAGGTCTGACTTACATCCGGCAATGCGAACCATGCTCCTGCTGCGGTCGTAAAGGGAACGGACAGCCCTTAACAGAGGGCCCCGCACCCCATACTCCCGAAGCACCCCCCACAAGATGCCACGAGGGACATGGTGGAACGCATTCTCCAGATCCACAAAACACATGTGGACTGGTTGGGCGAACTCCC